AGCTAGTGAGCTACAGTCTTACCTCCAGAGGGAAATGCTGGATGCTGAGGAAGACCCACTGAAGTGGTGGATAGAATCCCAGAGGATATACCCTCGGCTTTCAAAACTGGCAAGAAAATACCTCTGCATTCCAGCTACAAGTTCCTCTTCAGAGAGGGTCTTTAGTACAAGTGGAAACATTGTCACCTGCTTGCGTTCATCTCTTAAACCAGATAATGTTAACAGATTGGTGTTTCTGGCTAGAAACATTTAAGAAATTATTTTAGCAACCCTAATAACATGGTGACTTAAATCATTTTGTTGTCTTTAGTTAACTTGGTATGTTAATGCCGGGGCCTGATGATGGGCTAGCCTTTTATATTCGTGGAGTTGCTGGAATTTGTTTAATATATTTTGCCAAAATGTTGCCTACTTGTTTTAAAGAGATTGTGGAAGTGAATACAGGGAATAAATACTTTTATACTTTGATTTGAATTTTATATTTATTTTAATAGTTCAAAAAGTACAATAAATGTTCAATGTTTTAAGAATTGTTGAAAGGTGTCTTTTTATTAAATGCGTCACGTTATGTTTCCAAAGTCATGTGAAATAATCGTGTTAAATAATCGTGATTTCAATATTGACCAAAATAATCTTTGATTATAAAAATGATTATGATTTTTCCCAAAATCGAGCAGCCCTAACTTCAACGCTCACGTGGGCAGCGATAGTGACTTTTGGAGGGGCGTGATTGGGAGGAACGGCCCCCCTGACCTGAACCCGATTGGTGTTCAGTAGGGGTGTAACGATTCACTCGTTTTTTCGATGCATTGATTATAAATCCTGACGATGCATATGCATCGATCCTGAAACATGTATTTTGAATCGTGAATCGTTTATTTATGTGAATAATCAATTTAATAGACTAAGAATTGAATTGACCGCGATTTTATAGCGATTCAGTGGTTTAAAATATGTAAACACAACCTTAAAGTGTTCCTGGTACAAGCTGCCTCACGCATTGGCCGTCATAAGACATCCGCATTTGATTGGTTTCACACGCTCACACACCCCTGATTTCTCATGCTGAAGCCCGGTCGGTCAAATGCCTGAAAGGTGAGTTTATCTTTCTACCTGTTGAGCTACTCGTGTCGTGATCAGCTAGTATTACCGCAAATTAGTTAAAATCTCCCGGAATCTAGAGCAAGCGTGCATACGGGACAGAGGTTGTGCTCCAAACCGCGTATCGCGCGTGCACACACGGCTGCACGCACTCGGCAGAGAGGGAAAGTGAGCGAGAGACCACCTTGCATGTACGGAGAGTCTTTCCATGTAATAAATGAATGAAAGCGTTTTATTTCATAGTGCCCACGCAATGGCATGGCAGCTTTATCAATAGCTTGGGCGGTTTGCCTCAAAACTATTGCTTTCTCGACAGAGAGCTCAAACATGAACTGCTCAAAAATCTGTAGTTACATGAGAGCTATGGGACCAAGCGCAAGCAAAATGCAGTGAAAAGATGTTAACGAGTGCACTGAGAGGACGCAAAATGAAACTAATGAAAACGTCTCCATTAATTTGTGCATGTAGTCATTTAATGCAATACTTTAAAAGCCTTTTTCAAAATATTGGCTACTTAGGTAGGTTTCTACAAATGCTAATTTGTAGGCCATTGAATTTTTTTTATAATAATATATTCATTAAAATTATAAAACAAACATGAACTAACATTAACAATGGACAAAATCCCCACTATCTGACCCCCGAAGGCCACTGTGTAGGCTAATTCAAACCCAGACAAAGACCCATTGGGTGAAGCATTGAAAAAATAATATAATGCATATAAAAAATTAAGAATCGAATCGAATTAATCGAATCGCATCGAATTTGGATGTGAATTGCATCAAATTGAATCGTTCTGAATTTGCACAAATCGTTCTTGAATCGAATCGAAAACCTATGAATCGTGAATCGAATCGCTGTCTACCCAAAGATTCACAGCCCTAGTGTTCAGTTATTGGATTTCTGTGCTAGTCACAGTTTGTCCATAACGAACACCATGTTCAAGCATAAGGGTGTCCATCAGTGCACATGGCACCAGGACACCCTAGGCCGTAAGTCGATGATCGACTTTGTGGTTGTTTCATCTGACCTGCAGCCGTATGTCTTGGACACTTGGGTGAAGAGAGGGGCGGAGCCGTCAACTGATCATCACCTGGTGGTTAGTTGGATCCTATGGCAGGGGAGGAAGCTGGACTCGGCAGACTCAAGCTTACTGTAAGGGTCTGCTGGGAACTTTTGGCAGAGTCTCCTGTCAGAGAGATCTTCAACTCCCACCTTCGGCAGAGCCTCGACTGGATCCTGAGGGAGGCTGGAGATATTGAGTCTGAGTGGACCATGTTCTCCACCTCCATTGTCGAAGCGGCTGCTCGGAGCTGTGGCCGTAAGGTCTTCGGTGCCTGTTGAGGCGGCAATTCCTGAACCCGGTGGTGGACACCAGAAGTAAAGGATGCTGTCAAGCTGAAGAAGGAGTCCTATCGGGCCTGGTTGGCTTGTGGGACTCCTGAGGCAGCTGACTGGTACTGGCAGGCCAAGCGGACTGCTGCCCGGGTTGTTGTGGAGGCAAAAATTCGGGCCTGAGAGGAGTACGGTGACGCCATGGAGAAGGACTATCGGCTGGCCTCAAAGAGATTCTGGCAAACTGTCTGGTGCCTCAGAAGAGGAAAGCAGTACCCTACCAATGCTGTTTACAGTGGAGGTGGGCAGCTGTTGGGCCAACTGGGGATGTCGTCAGACGGTGGAAGGAATACTTCAAGGCTCTCCTCATTCCTGCCGTCACATCTTCCATCGAGGAAGCAGAGGCTGAGGGCTCATCCATCACCCTAGCTGAAGTCACAGAGGTAGTCAAGAAACTCCTCGGTGGCAAGGCATCGGGGTGGATGAGATCCGCCCTGAGTGCCTCAAGTCTCTGGATGTTGTGGGGCTGTCTTGGCTGACACGCCTCTGCAGCATTGCGTGGCGGTTGGTGACAGTGTTTTTGGGATGGCAGACCGGGGTGGTGGTCCCTCTTTTTAAGAACGGGGACCGGAGGGTGTGCTCTAACTACAGGGGGATCACACTTCTCAGCCTCCCTGGGAAAGTGTATGCCAGGGTATTCAAGAGGAGAATTCGGCCAATAGTGGAACCTCGGATTCAGGAGGAACCGTGTGGTTTTCATCCAGGCTGTGGAACACTGGACGAGCTCTATACCCTCTACAGGGTGCTGGGGGTTCATGGGAGTTTGCCTAACCAATCCACATGTGCTTTGTGGATTTGGATAAGGCATTCGACTGTGTCCCTCGCAGCGGCCTGTGGAGGGTGCTCCGGAAGCATGGGGTCCGGGGTCCTTTACTAAGGGCTGGTCCCTGTATGACCGAAGCAGGAGCTTGGTTCGCATTGCCGGCAATTAGTCAGACTTCTTCCCTGTGCATGTTTGACTCTGGCAGGGCTGCCCTTTGTCGCCGGTTCTGTTCATAATTTTTATGGACAGAGTTTGTAAGCCCATCCAGGGGCCAGAGGGTGTCAGGTTTAGGGACCACGTGATTTCGTATCTGCTCTTTGCGGTTGATGTTGTTGTGTTGGCCCCTTCAGACCAGGACCTTTATCATGCACTGGGACGGTTTACAGCTGAGTGTAAAGCGACTGGGATGAGAATCAGCACCTCCAAAGCAGAGGCCATGGTCCTCAGTCGGAAAAGGGTGGCTTGCCCACTTCAGGTTGGTGGAGATATCCTGCCTCAAGTGGAGGAGTTTAAGTATCTTGGGGTTTTGTTCACGAGTGAGAGAAGGTTTTAACGGGAGATTGACAGACGGATCGGTGCAGCTTCTGCAGTAATGCGGTCGATGTACCAGTCTGTTGTGATGAAGAAGGAGCTGAGCCGCATCCCTTAGAGACAGGGTGAGAAGCTCGGTCCGAGAGGAGCTCAGTGCAGAGCCGCTGCTCCTCCACATCAGCTGAGGTAGCTTCAGATGCCTCCTGGACGCCTTTCCGGGAAGGTGTTCCGGGCATGTCCCACTGGGAAGAGACCCTGGGGAAGACCCAGGACACACTGGAAGCCAAAACAACTCTGGCTGTTGTCTGCCACAATATATACCCATTGATGCTTTTTTTTAACAAACTGTCAAAGGATTCAGCACCAAAATGAAAATAATAATTTTGCACCTGGCTTTATCATATGTTCAGATCTATCTACTGAAAATATATGCAAAATTGTGCATATTTAATGATAATGCCTAATTTGCATAATTAAACACACATTTCAAAAACTTAGAAAACATTTTTTTATATACTTGTGTAATCAACTGAAGAAGTTTCATGGTATCTAATATTTAAAATTTTTACCCTATTCACCTAGTGTCTCGCCTTAAAAGTTGGTATTTTGCAAATATATATACATAAAAAAGGCAGTGAGCCTCTAATATATCTTTGCTTTGACCCTTGACTATCATTCTAGAAACTTAATTTCCTCATCTTGATTGCCTACTTACAAAAAACTAGAGGAAAATGGTCAAACGACAAGATAGGCAATTTGGTGTCCATTTTGATATGCACATTAGAAGGTAATAAACTAAAAATTTCACTTGGGTACCATTTTTTGGACTTAGCACCCTTGAAAATTGTATGGTAGGCCAGTTCCCGACTTGTACCCATAAATGCTCCTCACTTCTTATAGAAGGCTATATTTCTGAAATCCTACCACGTGAAATTGCTTAACTCATCACGCACGACTGCCCACACTGCAATGACAAAATTTTTTGTCATGCACTCCATTATGCTTTGTGCGGACGCAGCCAGTATAAACCAGGCTTTACATCGGTCAGTTAACTTTTTTTTGTGCACAGAAAATGGCTTTTGAAAGCTGGGGTCAGGAATTGCCAGAAAGCTTAATTTAAATGCTTATAACATATTAAAAAATATTCAAGTTTAATGTGAGTGGCTTTTGTGCATACCAAAGTTGTTAGATATGAGTTTTTGATGTTCAGGTTTGGTACGGAGCGGCTATATGCACAGAAAGAAGACCTATTGCACGAAGCGCTGGAGCTGGAAGCCGAGAAGAATCTTCTAGCGAGTGGGGAAAATAAATACCAAGATGAAGAGCTCAGGAAGAGAGCACTGGAAGAAATATCATCCCTTGAGCCTGACAAATCCACCGTGCTGTCAGTAACAACAGCTCCACCTGCTGGTAAGGAGTTTTTAGTCCAGCAATAATTATTATATCATTAAACATCATACAGCCTGAAGCCTTATTGCATCTAATTTAATCACATTTGTGTAATTTTTAACAGTTGTAGCAAGCCCAGAACCTGAAGAGCAGGAGGAGGCTGAGCTCACAGCTCCTACAGCCAAACAGCCATGTCAGTGCTGCTGCCAGACCTATTCAGAGATCCTGAGCTTTCTAGAAAAGCGCTTTGAAGCAGAGCAGAGTCTGCGAGAGGAGGAGATGGCACTGAGAAGAGAGGAGCTAGAAATCCAGAGGAGTAAGATTGCCCTGGATCGAGAGCGTCTAGGAGCAGAGAGAAAAGAGCGGGAACGACGGTTTGAGCTGGAGAGTCAGGAAAGACAGGTCATACTCGACTTGTTGAAAGAGAAGGTCCTAAAGAATGAACGGAACTCTGACTGAAATTAAAAGTTTTTCTTTTCAGTCTTTGATGTTGAACTCTCCTTCCAACCAATGCTAGCATTTCACTTTCCTTGTTTAATTTGATCTCCTTAAAGTATGAAAATAATATAAACCTATAATAATATAGTATATATATCATTTAATGCAATGGGTAAATGTCTTGAGATATGATTGCATTCTTTGGATTACCTGAAGGAGGGAACGGAGACGTAGTCCCGTCGCCACTATTGCTGTATCACCGCTGACTCAGAGTTATGCTCAACTCCTCAGCGAAAAACAACTAGAATGTGCATCCGCTTCTGTATTTATACCCGCGCCGCAGGGGAGGTGTGTGTAATACATTTCACACAGAACACTGACCCCAGGTTTCAAAGACAAGGCTTAAGCCTAGTCCCAGACTAAAATGCATGTTTGAACTGTTTAACTGAAAGGAATTTGCACTGACCTATTTTAAAATAGGTCAGTGCCATTGTTTTGTCACAAGATGCACACCAGTAATGTTTTTCCAGGGATTTATAAAAGGTACTTTCATGTCCTAATTGAACTAAAACATAATCCTGTCTTAATCTAAACCCTGTCGGTGAAACCACGCCTGAATTTAGTAACTGCTGTAATGCTTAATTTTAGATCCAGTAATGGCATGATTAGATCATTGTCTACACTGACTTCAGTGTGCTCAAAGCTGTGCTTAATTGAAGCTATTGCAATTGTGATATACCACTGAATACAGAAACTGTTGCAGTACATTTATCAGTACAAGTTTTATTGGTAAAATGTTTGCAGACCTTAATCACTTCACCATAAAGGTAAAGCTATTTTAGTTTCGCTTAATAGATGAATCGCTTAATCTCTAATATCAGTTTAATCTCGGGTGTAAGTGTTAGTGATTGTGTTATTATTTTTCTTCTAAGTAACCTGTTCCCAGAGATCATAATTAATGCCACATTTGGTTTATGTGTAGACCATTGTGGTTTTCTTCTGCATTTAAATCTTTGTTGTGTAATGTTGCAAAGTTGTGTAAGTAAAGTTTAACTTTATTAAAATGTTACCTTTTATTCAAATTGTGCTATTTTGCTAAGTGTGTTTAATAAGTGGAGTAAACAGGGGAAAAGGACAGAAAAAGCTACATACAATGCTTCAATGTTATTGGTTTCATCAACTTTTCTTTACGAAAAATTATGAAAAAGCGTAATGGTTGACTTGGATTGTGTATGCTTTGGTAACAAATCACATTAAAGCCTTGATGTTGAGTTGTGTGACAATGTATAACATTTTTAAATTTGAACAACTCTACACATTTAGTTTCTGAAATATATGAAGATGTGATGGTGCAAATGGGTGATGTCAAAGAAAAGGTTTACAATAAGTTTAAAAAATATATATATATAAATGGTGGCAGCATTTGGGCAGGCATGACCCGGAAGCATTATTCCTTACACTACAACTTATGGTCCGGTCACTTTAAAGGAACACTCCAACTTTTTGGGACTTTGGCTTGTTCAGCATATCCTCCAGAGTTAGATAAGTCCATACATACCTTTTTCATCTCCGTGCGTGCTGTAACTCTGTCTGACGCACCCACCGCTAGCCTAGCTTAGCACAAAGACTGGATGTAAATGGTTGCAGTAGCATACTAATCCCAAATAAGTGACAAAATAACGCAAACATTTTCCTATTTGCATGATGTGATTTGTAAAGTCACAGAGTGTACAAATAACAAGGTCATATGAGACACAGTCATCTTTTAACCGTATATATATTGGGAACTATATTCTCAGAAGGCGAAGCACTGCTACTTGGGCAGAATGATAACCGCATCACCTGAGATGGACCATGGTTAGGAGCAGAGAGTTCGTTCGGAGTTGGAGTAATAGAGTCAGCAATTACTACTTTGTAAAAGCATAGTTTACAATCATGGGTGTTAGTTGTATTGTGGCTGCAACAATAAACAGGGGAGACTGGGTAATACCATGATTTTGAATTCCAACCAAAAACGCATCCCGACTAAACATGAATAAAGAATTATTACAGTAATCGATATATTTTAAATGCAATTTATTACAGCTGAACCAAATGTATTCAACAACATATGAAGAGTTCAGATGCAAAAGCCTCTAAGTGCTATTTGAAATTTTCTTCTAGAATGATAATTTTTATCAAGCTTGTATATTTAAGCTCAGTAATTTCACTTAAATTGCAATGAAGATTACCTATTAATTGTAATTTAAGTGAAATTACTGAACTTAAATATACAAGCTTGATGAAAATGATCATTCTAGAAGAAAATTTCAAATGGCACTTAGAGGCTTTTGCATCTGAACTCTTCATATTATACAGTAATGTTAGATAATTGCATTACAATAGGCTAGAATAAGGGGAAAGTAATAGCACAAGGCAAATTTTTGCACAATGAACCCACAATAGCCTACCCGTACTGGACAAGGTCACTGTTTCTCAAATAAATAAATAAATAAAAAATCTGATTCATTAGCAAGGTGAAGGCTACAGTTCTGAGTTTACCTCTTGCTCCGCTCATTTGTTACTGGGCGATAGAGCACGTTTGTGACAAAACAATAACATTATAGGGGCCTGCTAATGACGGGTCTTTTGCACGCCCAAGTTCGTAATTTCAAAGGTAACATGTAAATACGAAAATGTTTGTCACTTATTTGTTATTTTGTCAATCAGTCTGCGCATAAGTAAATAATTAAAGACACAAAATATTGATCTTAGTCAGAATATTTTATTATGTGTTTAAACACAAAGATTCCGCAGAGAGAGCAGTTGCTAGCAAGTGGCAAGTTCAAACTACTTTGTACATGGACATTTAAGGGATATGGTATAGTCTTACGACATATTACACAGCATTTCGCCAGATAAATAATTATGGGGGTGGTTGTTATAGAGGAATAATTAGTGTGTTATAGAGTGTAAATGTGATAAACCGCATATCGTTGCCTTCACCGTTTGGTGCTACAGTATTTACATGCATCATTCAGCACAACATTGTTAAAATTTGTTATCTCGGTTATTTACATACGTTAATGAAGCTAAGTGACATGATGTACAACACAGCTAAAGGTTAGAAGCTAACGTTAATGTTTTCTAATGTAAGTCTAACATTAGACTAATGTTACATTAGAGATTTTAAAGATAATGTTAAAATACATTGTAGACTTAACCTAGAACAGATGTAGACATACTTGTTAAATTCATCCGCATTGAGTTGGTGTTGTGGTCTACCGCATAACTTAATCGCATAACTTTATCCAAAGCAGACATGTATCTTGGTTGATATGTGGTTTGGTAAAGGGTAAAAAAATACAAACCATCGCCCAGCTTCTCGGGAACCTAGTGTCAGAGTTGCATTTACCCCATAAACACCGTTTGACCATTTTAAACTTAAAATATAAAAAAAAAAAAACGAATGAAAACTGAATATCTGCAGTGCATTTCAATGGAAGTGGAAGCAGAGAATGTCCGAGTGTATTGGGTTAGCTGCATACTGTGATTGGCTCATCACGTTTGAGGGCGTGGCTTAGCCATAGGTCAATTAATCAGTTCGTCCGACGAACTCTTTTGATTATTAATTTATCCTAAGAAAAGGGTATCTTCCATGACCCCAGAAGAATAATTATTTCTTAGCATGTACACACTGAAAAAAACTACTTGTAAGATTTACTTAATAAAATCCTCGTAACAATTTGCACAAGTATATTTTAAGTAAATTTTACTGCTATAATATCAAGTACAACTCAAGTGTCATTATCAAGTAAAATCTACTTAGTATTGAACGAAACGCTCATGAAGAAATTAAGTAAAAATTACCTATTTGCGTTTCATTTAGAAGCGATATTTATTTAAAATAATTAAGTAAAGTTTATTTATTGTTTTTATAATTAGGAAGCTTGTTTTTATGATATTTTAAAGTAAATCTTACCATTTAATTAAGTAAAATAAGTAGATTTTATTTAAGTTTTGTTTTTGTTGAGATTATCACATAATATTTAAACATTGTTAATTTCTTTTTATATATATATATATATATATATATAAATAATCATAAACATATTATTCATTTTCTCAATATTTTTCAGAAATCACACAACTAAAATTCTATTAAACAGTTTATTTTTCAGTCAAAAATGTTCAGCCAAAAATGGTCATTTAGTCATCTCTTGACAGGTGCATTCAGTAAAACTTCAGAATTATACTGTAACCCTTGTTTTAAACAGAAAAGTATATAAAAAAAATCATGCAAAACATTTGACATTCAAAACAGCACTCTGAACTAATGAACTTTAAAGAATACCATTAAAACCTTGTTGTATTAAAACGTCATCAACAGCTGAATGTTTAAACACTGCTATCATACCATATCATTTAATATAATTTCATCTTCAGTCTTTGAACTTTTGGGGAGAGTTTAATTCCATCAAGTTCTAACAGAACTTTTTGTAACACCTCAAACGTGTATCGCAGTGCTCGGGGGTATTCCAGATTTAGGGCATAAATCAGGCCCATAAGCAGCATGCATGCCTTTGCAGTATTGCCGCATCCTGACAGCATTTCCTTCCCCTCAAGAAGGATGGATACATCAACTGGGTCTTCTCCATCAGCACCACGAACGACCAGTATTTTTATGATGTGCTGAGTGATGTCCCTGCAGCTGTCCTCCTGCATACAATTTAGAAGAAAAAAATATAATTATTTTGAAAAACAAAAATATAATTACTGAAATTATTTAAATTGACTTCATTATCACAACAGAATGAACAAACACATACACATAATAAAAAAGACCATATGGTTTCTATTATGTTAACCCTTTAATGCATACGATTAAAGGGATAGTTCACTTTGAAATTAATTTTTGGTATGTTTTATCTTACCTCAAGGGCATCCAAGATGTACGTGTCTTTGTTTCCACAGTATTTTCAATTTTGATATTTTTAGGTCAAACCGTTCTTGTCTGTCAGTCATATAATGGAGGTCTATGGTCACCACCTCAAAGAGCAGCACAGAGAAGTCCAAATTAAACATGATTTAATGACTCGTAAATGTAAGTACACATTGATGGCCTAAGACACGAAACGAGCGGTTTGTGTGAGAAAACCGTTTTTACCTCTTGTAACCACAGCCACGTCCAAGTGATCTGACGGCACGGGCGCTTCGGTCTGCGCAAGCGCCGGAAGTGATCTCTCTCACGTGTACGTCACTCATTGTTTACACAGAGATTCCGGAAGCGCTACCTTTCACTGTGAAGATCTAAACATATTTAGATATACAGGAAATTGCAATGGATATCTAAATATGTATATTATAAATATATTATATGTATAATATAAATATCAATTTCCAGTATATCTAAATATGTTTAGATCTTCACAGTGAAAGGTAACGCTTCCGAAATCTCTGTGTGAACAATGAGTGACGTACACGCGAGAGAGATACACGCAGACCGAAGCGCCCGTGCCGTCAGATCACTTGGACGTGGCTGTGGTTACACGAGGTAAAAACAATATAAATACTGTTCGTTTTCTCACACAAACCGCTCGTTTCGTGTCTTAGTCCATCAATGTGTACTTACATTTATGAGTCATAAAATCATGTTTAATTTGGACTTCTCTGTGCATGCTTTTTGAGGTGGTGACCATAGACCTCCATTATATGACTGACAGACAATAACAGTTTGACCAAAAAATATCAAAATTGAAAATACTGTGGAAACAAAGACACTTACATCTTGGATGCCTTTGAGATAAGCTAAAACATACCAAAAATATATTTCAAAGTGAACTATCCCTTTAAACCGGAGTGATTATATAGTGCATTTCAGGCATTTAAATACATTGTAGGTAACTATAAAGTTTACCCTTTTTTCTCCCACTTCATCGGCCTCTAGAGCTGCACAATTCTGGCTAAAATGCGAATCACTATTTATTTGCTTGGAATAAAGATCATGATTCTCTCACAATTCTGAAAAGCTTCATTATTTAAAAGATCTACGAATCCTGAACAATAGGCTACCAAACAAGATTAAAAAAAAGACAACTAAATAAGACATTATACTCTTCCTTAAGTCAAATTTTAATAAATGCAGTAAACAAAAAGAAAGCAATATTTAAATAAAATAAAAAAATGACAATTAAACATTTACAACATTCAAAGGTATTACGCCAGGCTAGAGTGATTAAAGATTCTTAGCAAGAAAAAATATCAACATTTTTGGGTATGGTTGACTGACCTACTTTTCATCTAAAGGTAAAGCCCCAAGTTTGTGCAATTTTTTTCTCTGATTTGATCATAAACTTGCGCATTACATACTGTTTCACAGCTGGCGAACGATCCCATCATCTTCACTACGACACGGCATTATTACGGCTTTTGTTGACACAGTGCGCGTTCCGGGACTGAACACGGCAATGTAACTTCGTCCCCATCCCGGCATCGATGCCGGGTTGTGTTCCCATTCACACAGAAGGCGTTCTGGCAATTTCCCGGGATCACACAGTGCAATGAACCCGGGAAATTGCCAGAATGCCTTCTGTGTGAATGGGAACACAACCCGGCATTTTTGGGTGAACTGACCCTTCAAGTAACCCCCGGAAGTGCGAGTACACAGCCTGGCGATTTTGAACGTTCTGAAACCAGGAAATGAGATAAAGGCCTAAAGCGCTTTATGACCTGTCACAATCACGAAACGTCGCCATGGAAATAATAAGGAGATATATTTGAAAATAACAGTGGACTTAAAAACTCACACTGGGGTGGTCAGCTAAAATATTTTAAAGTTGCGTGTGAAAAGGTTCAACATTAAATTTATTTCACAGTATTGTAGCAATAGTAAAACATTTGTAGAACACAGCATGAGATGACTGCAATCCAGTTTATAGCCCCCTAAAAGGGATAGTTAACCTGTTTACTCAACCTCAAGTTGTTCCAAACCGGTATGAGTTTCTGTCTTGTGTTGAACACAAACGAAGATATTTTAAAAGAATGTTGGTAATCAAATGACGGTAGTCATTGACTTCCATTGTATATTTCCAATGGCTACAGTCAACCGTTTGATATCCCATTTTCTTCAAAATATTTTCTTTTGGAGGTTCAAAGAACAGAGATAAGAAACTCATACAGGTTTGGAATAACTTGAGTGTGAGTAAATGACCATTTTTAATTTTGGTTGAACTATCCCTTTAAATATTGCTTTACTTTAAGCCATAGAATTGTCTCTTCACCTTTACAATTATATGGCTTTGTAATGGAGTATTGTTTTTGGTATTTAATTAGAATAATTGACACTTATACATTAAGTTTATTCTTTCAGAAGATGTAGAAATTAATTTTTACATTTTACAAGGTTAGGCTATCACTGAGCAGAACATGTCCATCCCTTCGTCCACCTTCCCTCTCTTACCTTAGGGTTAACTTGCACTTTAAACAGTAAAAACAAACTATAATTTAAAATAAAAATATGCTTTACCAGGCAATCTTCAAAAAGATCCTCTTCTTTTTCGCCAAGGTAGAGAATGAGGCTGCGGATAACTGATTCACGTCTCATCTCAATGCTTTGTGTCTGTGAACAGATTTATATTGTATCATTACACAACCTTTTATTCATACACAATGAACTCCATGAAATCAAGTAAGAACACAAAAACATACATGCGCAAGGAACACTGATTTGAGTACTTAAGCAAGGTGACTCTACTTCCTGTTTCTGTCTGCCTTGCATTTTGGCCAAAGCAGAACTGTTGCCAAAACTCTATCATCTTCAGTACAGATTCTTTATATTTGAAATTTAAGTTGTATTTTATGACTAAAATTCTAACTACTGAAATTGCAGAACTTGACTTTTGTCTGTTTAATACAGTTAAGTAATCTATATTGTATAAAAAAGTTATATAAACACAACATGTGCATACATGTATGAGAAATACATTAAGTATATCTTATTTTAAAAAAAAAACTGAACAAGCACAATTTTGATCAAACACACCTGGCTCAGTTTGTCTAGAAACGGCCTCAGTTTGGTCCCCACAACACCTCCTTTGGCCTTCATCAGGGCAATAAGTCTTGGTGTGAATTGGTCGAGCCTGAACATGAATCTCTGCTCCAGGGAAATTGTAGTGATTCTTCTGAATTCCTCCTTGATCTAATGTGACAAAATGATTCAAGAGTACAACAGCAGAAATTTGGTTAAATAGACTGATGCAGGGAGCAAGGGTTAATTTGGTACAAGGACTGTAAATATCAACAGTGGAGTGAACAATCCAGCACTTTCTTTTGTAATGTACAAGTCCACAATTAGGAACTCCCGCACACTCTCAATACTTGCAAATAAAACTTTAATTTAGAAGCAACGTTTTGGTCTTACGACCTTCATCAGGCATGAGATATGCCTGATGAAAGTCGCAAGACCGAAACGTTGCTGCTGAATTAAAGTTTTATTTGCAAGTATTGAGAGTGTGCGGGAGTTCCTAATTGTAGATTGTCGACAATTCTTGGTCTTCCTTTCCTACGCACCTATCACCTACAGGTGTGCGATGGCATTTGTTTATTGTAACGTACAAGTCCAAAAGAGAAACACTAATTTGGCATTTCAATTTTAACTTTGAGTTAAGTACATTTCAAGTTTATTTTTTGTTCATGTGCTAAATCAATTACTGTGGTCAATATTATTATTACATCAAATTACTGTTACATCCCGGAGGAGCTGGTAGCATTTTTAAGGGCTTATAGATTCACCTACCTCAGCTTCACAAAATAGAGCAGGCCATCTTTCTTTGAAATGCTCAGCAGCTGGACTGCCACTCACAACCTCAAGCCTTCGACAGGAGAATGTTTTGGCCATTATTTCTTGAATCACCTTGGTGTTGTTTTTCTTCAGTACTTCATTAAGAAGCACCTGTCTTTCCATTTCCAGACTGTCTATACTTTCTCCACTTGGATGTGGAGGGAGATAGTTCACCTCTGCTCTCTTCGGTCTTCTACAGTTTTTGGCAGGATTTTTCTCACCGGGAGACTTGTTTTTCAAGGAGTTGATCTCAAGTTCAGGAAGAGGTACTTTACGCTTTCTCAGTTTAGAGCGGTAATTAGCCATCTTGTATTTAAGACGTTGCTGCCACCCGTACATGCCTGAAAATGATGTTTCAGGCTCTCTTAGGCATGGATGCATCTTTATCAGAGCTTCTATAACTGCCTGAATTTGAAGACCAGTTGGATAGGCAGTGAAGTGGAATATTGCTTCCGCAACTTTCTCAAGTATGTCAGACGTTATGCTTGGATTCAGAAGGGGTGTGCCGTCTGTTTTATTAGCCATGTTTCCTTCGTGAAGGGCCATTTCAACATTATATGAAAAGGTGGGTATCACAAAATTTGTTGGCCAACATTGTGATCGATGCTCTGGGGGCTTTGGTAAAATGATGGTGTCAGATGAACTGAGTGGGGAACTCTCGTCCTGGAAAGACTGATCCATTGGCAGTGGAAAGGAGGAAGCAGCATCCTCAACGATGGGACTAAATGTGAGAACAATAGAAGGTTCCATTTTAACTAGTTTGATTGTGTCTTTATCCTTAACCACATCTGTTGATGTCAAGGTGAAGAATTCGTTATCAAAATCTTTGTCCATGTACATAACCGTAAAACTCCCTTGAAGTTGAAAATGCTCCTGTGCAGCTGCCAAAAGTTCATCTACAGTGCTAGGGATTCCATGTGGAAGGGTTAACTTGTGAACTTTGGTCTCTTCAATGACAACGCGTAGTTGAGTGGGGGAAGACATCATCGCCGTCTTGGGTAAGCACAACTTAGAGAGAAACAAAAGACAATGTCTCAATAAGACAAGATAAAATACTATTTTGAATTTAAAAAAAAATAATAATAAAAATGAAAATAGTATTACAATACAAGGTGCATGTATATTAATTAAGCCATGCTATAAAGTATACATTAATAAACATCTGACAACATCATTCCTGACGTCGCAACACAAGTTGGTTTTGAATTATTTGAAGTTGTACTTTACCTAGTTTGACAAACAGATGTAGTGTTTCAGTGAAACCATTCGATTGCCTTCCAACGCATAGGAAGCCAATGGGTATATGTCAGGGAGTTGTGATTGCGCAATGACTTTGACTGTGCCAGTCGACTCCAATTTGAAACATCTAAAATGCTCACAATACCATGCACTTTGCAGTTTCACTACAAAGACTAAGCTGTCATGAACAACGATGATTTGAAGTATTTCTGCCAAGTCAGGCAACCCACCAGTGGAGCCATATACCAACATCATACCAACAGCATAACTGGTGCCTTGAAATTCCACCTTGTTAGTCAAATAAACAACGGTCTCTGCATGAAATTCCTGTGAAAAAAAATCACGTATGTTCTCATTTACAACCTCTAAAGGAACTCTGGACAACTTTGACACAGAGACAGCAGCTTTTTTTATCTCTGAACCACGGAGATGATATGCAATCATGGACTGGTGTTTTTTGGCCATAGACTTCAAAATGTTACGGAAACAGCCAGTTTGTCTCACTACCTTCTTAAAGAAGCTATGCTTAGCTTCAAACCTCATTGTCCATAAGGACACTAGTGGGCCAAATTCTTTAATGAGCTGTGGGTAGTGCTCTACAAAATGGTGTTTTGGAATCAACTTCCGTTCTGGAAAAAGACCACGAAATCTATGTCTGTGCTCAGCAATCAGGCTATCAAGGTAACCAATGCTTTCATCTGTATGGTTAGGTGACATTACCAACTCAACAACAGCTTTGAGGGTCATCAACAACTTCCATGCCTGCTCCTCTTCCGGTACTTTGGTACCAATCATAAGTGGTAGTAGTCTCAGTAAGCACCAATTTTCGTGTGCATTACCACCAATGGTTCTACGAGAGACAAAGGTTGGTGGTATCCTTTGGGGACAATTTGTCCTATCTTTCCACTTATATGGGAAATGCTTGATGATTCTGTTTAGCTCTTCAAGAGAGAAATGTCTCTTCTTTATCAAGATATCTAAACACAATGCCAATTCTACAGGTACAATACCTTCAAGTAAATCGTGCAGTACATCAGGTGGGTAACCTGTTGTCACATGAAAATGATTCAGTCTTTGAGTAATTGCACAATGCCTTTTAACTCCATGGCTATGGGTGTCACTAGCCAATGCTGCTTCAACATCCAAATGGTGTTGCTCTTTTGTTCTACCAGGGAATGTTCCTGACCTCACTTCAATTTCCTGAAATTGGGACCGCTCTCCAACACAAAATCTGCAAACATAGGACCCGTTGAAACTTTCAACAAACCCACCGAGTGAGTGAGCTCCCAGGTTATCCGCAATCACAGAAAATACTGTGCCTTTTATGATTTTGCCCAAACAGGGCACAAAAATGCCATCCTCTTCAAAGGTTTTCAAATCCTTTAATAAGGGCTCAAGCACTCTGGGGTAGCCAAATTTATGAACATCAACTGTCTTGCACAAAACAGCCAAGTAAATTGATGATAGTGTAGACCTTAATTCGGATGGAATATCAGCCAACACCCAGTAAACACCTGTTACCTTGTGCTTCTTGCGGGAGGTTCCTAAAGGATTACATATTTCAAAGTCATCACAGTAGAGTAGAAGTGAAAGTCTTAACTCCTCTCCACTTAGAAATGTGTTATTCTTGAAGTGAGAACCATCACGAAAACTACTATACTGACATGAAGAATCACAGTGCCTTGCACTCTTCAAAACCTTCTCCTGAATATCACTATTCTTAAGAATTTCTGACAAGGATTGCAAAATTGGTACATATTGGAATGTACATCCCTCTTTTGCACAAAGAATATACTCCAACGGTTCAACAACAGAGAAATGCTCTTTTGTGTACTTATTTCTCTTGTGTGCTGTGCCAAGAGGACCCTCTTCACTCAAGGCTGCACTAAGAGGATTTAACTGGCAAATGCTATTTACCAAATCTGTGATTACCAATTCTTCAACGGAGCAGTTGTGTGTTTTTAATGTGTTTTGAACAATGTTTCTGATAACAGGTGCAGATGCTGTACAAGTGATAAATTGAAGCTCCTCCACAATGTCATCGATACATCTACTAGGAACATTAAAGATGCAGTCCAATTTGAGTAATAAAGAGCAAAGGTGATCAACAATGACTTGAACTAAATCTTGACCCTCTGTGACAAGTGTTTCATCCGAAGTAACTTCACTGTCATCAATCAACGGACTACTATCTTCTGTTGCCTGACTTGTATGCGTCTGTAAAACACTATGTTTAAAATCTTCAAGGCAGTGGGGATTGTGCTTCCTACTTCTATGTGAAGCAAAAGTCGAATATATATTACTACTGTAATCACAGTCATTAAAAACACATTGAACAGTTTCGTGCTTTTTCAGATGAACTCCAAGGTGTTCAAAATATTGCTTCTCTGAGTGAAAATGACATAAATTACACACAAGACATGAAAATGAAACAACTTGCCCTAACTGTTCAGTTTGAGTATGTTCTCTAGACAAATGTGTGCGAAGTGCACCCCAACCTGTAAATGAACAAGGACAATCTATGTACAAGCAGGGTACTGACCGGCCTTGTCCGGTCTGTAGATGTTTCAATCTATAATGCTTTAAGAGATTTAAACGGTTTGAAGTTCTAAATCTGCATTTTTTGCATGGCCAACTCATAACATTGAAAGCCTACTCTTTTTCAATGATGACACCAGTGTTGAAAAACATGAATCTGTCCACTGTCTTGGCTCGTCCTAGTGCTAGGTAAGGTCCTCCTGTAAATAAACAGACACAATTTGTGATATTAAAACATTGATCAATGATTTAAAGTTACATCTCACGTTCTACAGTATGAATGAAACATACAAGAGTTATTAAAAAAAAAAAAATCATTAAATAGTTTGGAACTCCATAATCAACTGTCACCACACATGCAAACTATTGCACCAGTGCTACTGTGGTAAATTCATTTATCACACAGACCTTTTCTCAAAAGGATCGAATAGTAGATTGTAGAACCATTGCCACCAGGGGCATAGCCATCTTTTTTAAAATCTTTTTTATAAGGCTATGAAATCATTTGCACTGCTTAGCAACAACCTCTAATTTGTATTATATATTTTCCTTATGAAAATTGGTTGATTGTTTTATGTACTGCAAACATTTTTGAGTCATCCTTGATTTTATACAATGTAAAAAAACAACAAAAAACTGAATAAAGCAGAAATTATATTTTACAGTTTCCTTACTGTAATAGGGCTGTCAATTAGCACTGCATTACTCGTGTCACGTTAAGACTACTTTAGTGTTTTAAAAATACCACAAGATCGCTTGAAAAATACAAACATGTTTGCAAAAAAATACACAAATCCTTTATTTTCCTAATCGTTATTATTGTCTTCACGTTTCATAAGGCAAAACATGTCTGCTTTTTTATTACAGGTGTTCAGCGTCTCTGCAAAAGTTAGGGGAACGAATTTACATTTTATTAAAAAGTATATTTTCATTACATTGTCTCCCCCGTAGGCCCATGATTGCCACTAACGATCTACGATCAACTTATCGCAGGATGCTTTTAGAAACGCAGCCCTGCTTATTTTGAGACCTCATTTATGCACGACTTAGTGAGATTGAAAAAAAAAATAGGTTTGTGTAGACGTTCCTGAGCAATATTCAGTAAGAACATTCAAACTTTTCCATTCAACAACAGTATGTTACCTCCATAGACGGTTAACGTTACCTCAGCAGGAAAGCGGTTGCGTTCATTACGTTCATGTTAAGGCCTAAGTTCATCTAGTCAGCAGATACAACGGTAAAGATTTCTAATAACTTCCAATTAGTTTGAATTTTTTACACGAAAAACAGTGCTTTGTAAAACTATTGCAAACTTTTCCAATTAAATATATCGTTAAATAATGTAGGAAGTGGATTTTAAGGTTTATAATATTCTATGGATAACCCACATGCGCCATTACACTAGGCCATGTTATAAGATGAGCATTAATGTTTATGAGTCAAATAAACAACAATCATCAATCAAAATCGACACAGACCCATGTTTTATTAAATGTAAAACAGATAGACAAACTTACCTCAAACCATAGACTGTAAAGCCTCAAACACGACAAAAAGCAGCCACGCAGCAGCCCGCCAATTCGTCTCTTATGATCCAAGTCATGATCCAAGTGCGCAGTTAGCTGTCTATGGCAGTTACTCGTCCAAAGTCCAAACACGCATGTGCGGATTCAAACCATTCAAACGCGCTATACTTTTCCATTGAAATTTACTTAAAATTACTATGTTTATGTGAAGTGACTATAAAACGTTTAAATATTACAAGCAAATATATAATAATATGTACTCTTTCCAACCAGTTAATTTATTACATGTATTAAATGCGTAAATATTTAAAATTTTACTTAGAAAATTCTAGTTCTCATTGAATTTGAATTTTATGAAGTAAAAATTATGATGGTTAATTTAATATATATTACTATACCAAAAAGTTCGTTTTTACAGTGCAGCACTAACCGCAAGTAGCAAAAACCGCAATCGTAAAAGTGACTTTGTATTGCAAACAAAACAGAACCAAATACATAGTATGTACAAGTTTTATTAACTAAATATAGGTATTTATATGAATATAAATAAACTAAACAACATACACACATGAATAGAATAGGTGAGTGATAGAACGAAACCGGAAACAGAACTATTGAGAAGTTCCATGTAACTATATGAGCAGGAACATCAGCATTTCATTTTCAAAGCATCAAATCATGTATACTTGCATGCCTGGGTAGTGTACACTAGGGGTTTCACAACTACTGATTTTTGTTAGTCGACTAGTTTTGCATAACAGTCGACGACTAGTCGACTAGTCGTTATTCTATACGGTGTGCGATATCACGAAACGTAAATGTTTCCACGATCTGCTTTTGAAGAAATATCGTAGTATCGTGTTACAGTGCATTCTATCAGTTCAGTTCTGGCGCCTCTTTCTCAACTGTAACGCGACGAAGTCTTATCACACGTTAACGAATATGTACGGGACACTGCAATTCACGAAAGTTAATTATTTGCATAAGCCTTGCAGGTTAAACATTTAATTCATGTGCTGATGATACGCTGTTCTAACGTGCGCTTTCCTGAGCGCATAACCCCCGACGCTCACTAGAAGACTGTCAAACAGCGCCTGAATACTGGACTAAGTTATCTTTGAAGTCTTATTTTGCTAATACTGTTAAATACACATAATGTTTACATAAACAGAATTGGCTATGTCTAAGTGAAAGCAAACATTTGAGAG